TTTTTTCAGAGGATTGCCATCGGAGAAACTGAATAAATGCAATGATTTTGGGAAGAGCTCCCAGGATAGATTTCTTAATTCTGGAAGTATTATTTAGTTAGGTCTGATTCAAGAAAATTTGTTACTAAATTGTCCTATTCATTACTCCAAAACCTCTCAAACGCTGTATCTGGTCAAACAGCTTTAGGTAGAAGCAACATCTGAAGTGTCAGGCTCCGAGCTTTGTGGAAAAGTGGTATATGCAAGTTAAGCTGGGAAAACATATTTTAGCTCTTAATCGTATCGAAAATATTGGGATTTAAACAGTAAACTATTTAAGCTATTGTTTGCTTTTTTATATAATTGATTTGCATAACTTGTTTACCTGAGAAAATCTTCCAAATGTTTACACGTACATGCCTGCTTAGTTGAGTATTTCTTTGATGCAAAATCTCAGTTCCGCTGAAAGCAGAAAAGCAGCGAGTTTATGATTGCAGCTGTTGCCTCTTTAATAATAGTTTTACTGATCCAACAGTGCACCTAATGAGCAAGATTTTTTTTTAAAAAAAGGAGAGTATTTAATCAAGCTATTTCTTTTTATGTCTTCCTTTCCCTAAGTAATTAGAACCATATTTTCTGTTTATATACTATTCAGCTCCAAGGGATTTTTTTTTTCTATGTTGTATTGCCAACCCACTGCATTTCTCAAGGTTTTCAGTGGCACATTAGTGCCACAGTATTAGTTAAAGCAAATACCTGAATTTGTGATATCAAAGTGATCAGAAAAATGGATCCGATTGACATTTTAGGGAACCGTGGCATGACAAATTTGAGAAAACTGCTCTTATTGGAATGACCTTGCACATTTTTTTCTGTATTTAAAGCTTTAAAAAACTTTCGGTATATCCTGAATATTAAGTATATTTCTCATCTTTGATTGAAAGATTGAATTTAACGTATTTGAAAGTAGTACAAAAGTTCTGCAAAAAAAGGGCAGCATTTAGTTCCCTTGGCTGGATGTCACAGTGGTGTGGGATTTTTTTTCACATGGTCTTTGTAGTGTTTTTATGGTTGACCTTGATGTCTCTTCCCAGACTCCAGTACATTCTAGAGCAGTGGTTCTCAACCTTTTTAATGCCGCAACCCCAACCGGTCGTAAGTCGAGGACTAAACCGGTCGTAAGTCGAGGACTAAACCGGTCGTAAGTCGAAGACTAAACCGGTCGTAAGTCGAGGACTACCCAACCGGTCGTAAGTCGAGGACTTTCCCTGCCCGGGAGCGCCGCACATGCGTGGTTCCGCCCCCTGCACCGGCCGAGGCATAGCTGGCAAGCAGCAGAGACGGAGCAGGCTGACCACCAGCTGGCCCAGCCCAAGGGAGGTAAGGCACCCACCGGAAAAGGGGAAAAAAATGGCGGACAAAAAAAATGGCGGACAGCCTTGCTTGGCGACCCCCATGAAATGGTCGATCGACCCCAAATGGGGTCCCGACCCACAGGTTGAGAACCACTGTTCTAGAGCAATTGGCATGGCATATTGCCGTTGTCCGTTCTCAAAATGTGTCTCACCCATCTCGTACACACAAACTCACACACACTGGCGTGAATGGAGAATGCGAGCATGGCCGATGCATCTAAGGTTACTTCCCACCCTGTTCACAGTGTACATTAGTCATAATGAAGAAAGAAACATTGACATCTTCAGATGAAGGGTTTGCGATGGGAATGTAAAATGATACATTCCGTGATAAAAAATTACAAAGGCCGGCTACAAACTAGATGTTACAGGGCTACATTCTTTATATCTCAGTTGGTCTTACTTTGTTCCATTTATCTGAAAATTGATTTTCCCCACATAAGCTAATTAGACATATTTCTTCGCCTCCAGTCAGCCAGCCATTCAATCCTTTCCCTTAAAAAATAATAAAAATATAGATGGTATTTTGAAGGTCTTGGGGGCTACACTCACGCTTTGAAAAGACTGAGGTTGCGGTCTTTTCCCGGCAAACGCAAAAATGTTAGATTTTTTTTTACTGCAGTGGTTCTCAACCCCGGGGGGGGGGGCACAATGTTGTCCGCGAAGGCTTGAAGAAATGTCATGATTTAAATCTTGAGTTAAGTATTGGCCTGTGGCCACAAAAGGTGTTTAAAGGTGGGGGTGAAGAAAAGGTTGAGAATTGCTGATTTAATGAGTATTCAGGAATCTATTGAAAGGAACGTGTCTATGGAGATTCTCAGTCGTCCAGGTCATGGTTGTCCCAAAGGTGCTTTTCCAAAAGGCAACTGGACTTCCTTGTTTGTTTGTTTTTTTCTTTGAAAACATTTTGCTTCTTATCCAAGAAGCTTCTTCAGTTCTGAAGAAAACAAAGGAACTGAAAGGAGCCCCTGTTTAAGCACATCCGATGAGGAAAAGCAGCTGCAGGTGAAGAGGCATCCTGAGATGAAATAGAATGTGTGAATGACTTTGGGGAAAGAGGGTGAAGAGAAGCAGGGACAGTCAGAGGAAGAAATGTAGGAAGAAACCGCCCTAATGGATAATAATAATAATAATAATAACAACAACAACAATAACAATAGTAAAGTTGGAAGGGACCTTGGAGGTCATCTAGTCCAACCCCCTGCTCAGGCAGGAAACCCTATACCATTTCGGACAAATGGCTGTCCAGTCTCTTCTTAAAAACTTCCAGTGTTGGAGCATTCACCGCGTCTGGAGGCAGGTTGTTCCACTGGTTAATTGTTCTCACTGTCAGGAAGTTTCTCCTTAGTTCTAGGTTGCTTCTCTTCTTGATCAGTTTCCATCCGTTGCTTCTTGTCCTGCCTTGCGCTTTGGAGAATACCTTGACTCGCTCTTCTTTGTGGCAGCCCCTGAGATATTGGAACACTGCTATCATGTCCCCCCTCATCCTTCTCTTCGTTAAACTAGACATACCCAATTACAGCAGCCGTTCCTTATATGTTTTAGCCTCCAGTCCCCTAATCATCTTTGTTGCTCTTCTCTGTACTCTTTCTAGAGTGTCAACATCTTTTTTACATCACGGTGACCAAAACTGGATGCCGTATTCCAATGTGGCCTTACCAAGGCATTGTAAAGTGGTATTAACACTTCACGTGATCTTGATTCTATCCCTCTATTAATGCAGCCCGGCACTGTGTTGGCCTTTTTGGCAGCTGCAGCACACTGCTGGCTCATATTTAGGTGATTGTCTACTAGGACTCCAAGGTCCCTCTCACAGTTACTACTATTGAGCAAGGTGCCACCTATGCCGTACTTGTGCATTTGGTTTTTCTTGCCTAAATGTAGAACCTTGTTTTTTTCACCATTGAATTTCATTTTGTTAGATAGCGCCCAGTGCTCAAGTCTGTCCAGATCCTCCTGTATCCTAAGCCTGTCTTCTGGAGTGTTGGCTATTCCTGCCAGCTTGGTGTCGTCTGCAGGATAAACCAGATAAAAGCGGTGGGCAGGAAGTTCGTGCTTTCAGACTGGTGAGATTCTGTTAATGTTGCCTTACAATAAAATAGATATAGCTCATCTAGTGTTTCCTATTTGGTTTACCCAGGATGACTGATATGAGGGGACCTTCAGAGTAGTGGCCAAAATTGTGGAAACCTTTTGGGAAAAGTGTATTTTTGAGGTTTGATGGCTAATAACACCACCAGTACCATAAAATTATATATTAATGGAAAGACAATTTAATCAAGAATGTAATGCAACAAAGGTGGTTCAATTATCTGTACTGTATTCTATGAAAAGTTATAGCCAAATAACCAGAAAAAGGAAGCACAACTTGCTTAGGTCGATATCGGGTAGCTTTCCTTCCTCTGATTGTAGCCAATGAGCAGGAGTGTCTAGAGAGCCAATCAGGTGTCATCTTGTTTTGGCAATGAGCCAATCAGATCACAGTAGAGTTCAGTTATTGATGTCATGTATTGAAGCTGAGAGGAGGACATTTGTCAGTGTGTTATGTGATCGCTATCAAGTAGGTTGGGGTTTTTTGTGTTCTTTCATTGAGTGAGCTTGTAAAACGTAATAAAATTAAAGTAATGGTGAAAAGAGTTGACTGGTTGCCCAGAAAGCGATGTAAAATAGCATTATTAAGTGAACAAGGCTACAGTTATAAAGAAATTAGAAGAAAAATTGGTGGAAACTTAACCAAAGGTGGCATTTCTACTGTACACTTTTCCCAAAAGTTTTCCACAATTTTGGCCACTACTGTGTATCCAATATGTATCTACCCTGTCTTTCTCAGTGCACAGCGATCGGGCTTTGTCGCTCATTTCTTCCTTCTTTTTCTACATTTGCAGTTTACTTCGGGAGCTCCGGGCCAGAACCCCCTTGCTTCTTGCTTCCCATAGTGATAGTCCCTCAAGGAGGCCAGGGCTAAGAGACAAACCAGCCAAGGGGAGGCTTCATCTGAGGGAGAGTTGAGGCCGAAGCCTTGAAAGGGCAACCGAAACAGCCATCATGCCAGTCAGATCGCAGAGGGGTCCCATGGTGTTTTCCCACCAGAAAAGCCACCAAAATGAGGGCTGGTTGCCCCCCCCCAGGTTTGGCCATGTTGCCCATCTTGCATTGTCCTTTTGCATCAGGGGGCTTAATCTTCCTGTTTGAACCAGGGATGCTAGCATGATAGCAGTGTTCCATTATCTCGGGCTGCCACAAAGAAGAGGGAGTCAAGCTATTTTCCAAGGTGCCTGAAGGCAGGACAAGAAGCAACGGATGGAAACTAATCAAGGAGAGAAGCAACCTAGAACTAAGGAGAAACTTCCTGACAGTTAGAACAATTAGCCAGTGGAACAACCTGCCTCCAGAAGCGGCGAATGCTCCAACACTGGAAGTTTTTAAAAAGAGACTGGACAGCCATTTGTCCGAAATGGTGTAGGGTTTCCTGCCTGAGCAGGGGGTTGGACTCGATGACCTCCAAGGTTCCTTCCAACTTTNTTCTTCTTCTTCTTCTTCTTCTTCTTCTTCTTCTTCTTCTTCTTCTTCTTCTTCTTCTTCTTCTTCTTCTTCTTCTTCTTCTTCTTCTTCTTCTTCTTCTTCTTCTTCTTCTTCTTCTTCTTCTTCTTCTTCTTCTTCTTCTTCTTCTTCTTCTTCTTCTTCATAATAATAATAATAATAATAATAATAATAATAATAAAAAATGTGGGTGAAGGTTCATTCCCTGAGCTTGTGGGTTGGTTTCTGAATGTTTCGTTACCAGGCAAAGTAACATCTTCAGCAGAGTGTAGGGAGATGAACACTAACATCCCCTAAA